AAAAATTAATGAATTTTTTTTAGGTGAAAAAAAAATAATTTTTTTTTTTTCTCACATTGTTAAATCCATTGTTAAATTTTTTCTTTCTTTCACACTCTTATAATACAACACCATTGTTAATTATTATGCCATTTTTATTCAACTCGGTGTTTCATATTATTAATGACGGAATACCATCACCAAATTCAGAAATTCTTAAAAATTATTTGGATGCTGCGCCACTTACGGAACTTTATTTGGAATTAAAAGTACAATCGTTAATCAAATTATCATTATTTTCTTTCCTCGGTATCGTCCAACCAACCAGAAAAAATTCGTCAGGAGAAGTTTTACGTGTGTAAGTGTAATGTTGTGGCTGATGTAATATTATTTTTTTTTTCGAAACGCACTCCCTTTTCCTTTTATCCTTTTAGTTGAAACGAACCACTTATATGTGGTGTTACGATTACAGGTGAAAAACGTGTTTTTTAAAAAATTTTTCAAAATCCAAACAAGTTGATTAAGCCGATCTTCCGGTTTTACCAAATTATTATTATAAATTATATTATATAATAAAAAGTAATTTTAAAAACTTTAAATCTTTTTTAGGATGATTGAAAGATTCTAATTCCATGCATTAGGATTCTTTTTCACAATAAATTTGAAAAAGGAAATTGAATCTTTGATAACTTTCAAACATTCCCATTCTTGATTACTTTTTTTTTATTCCAAATTTATTTTATTTATTATACAAATGATCATCGATTAAATACTGTATATATGTTCATATATATATTCATATATTCCCATCCAGCTGATTATTTTATTTGTCTCACGATCTGGCGCAGTTGATTACGCGAAAGCCCAAAATTTCTTTTATTGTAATTATTTATATAAAAAAAATTTCCACGCGAATAGTTAATAAATTTTGTCTGGAAAGATCTAATGAGTGAAACTTATATACTGTATATATAAAATATATAAAATATATAAAATATAGAAAACCATTTTTTTTTTATGGAAAATAAAATCGGATAAAATTCTCAATGATCAAATGTAACGTGATTCAAAAAATTAAAAAAAGTAATTAAAATAAAAACCATACTTAAATATAAACAAACAAACAAATAAATAAATATTACATTTTTACAGTTATTTATATTTATATATATTTTTTTTCTTATTAACAACAGATTTAGTATTTATTATAAAAATGCACTTAATATTTTTTTTTTTTTTTAACCAATTTAGTATTGTACAACGATTCATCATAAACAAATTTGGAATTTTTAATAATTTTTTTCTAATAATTGATAACAATTTTTATCCTTTCGACACCATCTATAGTATTTACCATATTTACCGTTTTTATTAATAATAATATGATTTTATAAATCAAATATTCTAAAATAATATTTTTGTATAACAAAAATAAAGTACGACAATAAAAAAGTACAGTACGTGGGTAAAGAAACTTATTAAGTATATCAAATTAGGTATATCTGATATTTAATTATTATTCTTCTTATTATTATTCTATAATTCGATTAATTACAATTATTAATGTATTTAATGGATGTAACAAATAATTTCCTCTCTTTAAATTAAAGTTAACTTATCTTTTAACTGATGGGCTAATAAATCATGATTTCTACTAATAGATAGTTTCATCTTTATAAACTTGAGAACCCCTTTATTCTACTTATCTTGTAATTTGTACAAAAAAAAAACAAATAATGAATGATTTTATTCGTCATTTGACCCTTTTTTCTTTTTTAAAGAACCTTTATATAGTAAATGCTTAGAAAGATGAATTTAGCAGGATATTCCGAGTTTTGATATATTGATTATATATATGTGTGTGTGTACGTATTTTTCAATGAAATTCCTAAATTTTCTATATAAACAAAAAAAAAATACTTTTTTTTTTTGTCAAAAAATACCTGTATTTATTACATAAATTTATCTACTAAACTGTTTTAACCGCTAATTATGTGAATAAAAAATTAAAACGCAGATGATGACATATGATATAGTCGTATTAATATGTATATACTATAGCATTCATTTAAAGATTTAAAAGAATTTCTTCTTTCTGAATTATGACTGGTCTATGACCAGCCTATAAAAAGAATTCTGGAAAAAACTCCGATAAATGATCATTTTTCTGAAAAATTTTTTATAGGGCTCTATAAAAAATTTTCTGGGAAAAAGTCCGATAAATGATCATTTTTTTAGTTCTTATTCCAAAAAAACTCCGATATGTGATTAATTTTCTAAAAATTTTTATAGGGGATCTGAAGGGATAAGCTGATAAGAAACTAATTATCCTATTTTTCAATCTCGATCAAAGTTTTCGTATACTTGAAACGTTTTATTAATTTCATGTTAATAAATACAGAATACTGAAGAAACTTTTCATGATTTTGTAATAATGTATTCACAAATTTGACAGAAACTTTGTCAGGTAATTATTCTGAGGTTAAATATACTATATTTGTCCTCCGAATTGATTTTTCTGATAAATATCGTATTTAACTTAACACCATTCCTATTTCTTAGCAGAAGCTTTAATAGGTCCGTTTGCATTTGGTAAATACGACAATACGACAAGGAATTGTTGAATGGAATGAAACTTTTAATTTATTTATCGTTACTTGAAAAGAATTTCATAAATTTGGTAAGGCACAACCTTAATTTCGGACAGGATGCAAAGAATCTACTTCTTTTCTAATTCTTTGGCGAAGAATTTTACATGCTAAATATGCATTAATCATTTGGGAAAAGATCGTTCGACGTTAATCCATCCGATGTTAGATAACAGGATTAATAAAGATGAACTTGGTGTCGTAAAGTTTCGCACGTCATAAGTTGGTCATAAGTTGGTTTTAATTCTCTGTCACTTATATTTCACAAGGATACCATTTCTATGTAAGTAGCCATCAAGTGATAAATGATCAAAATCAAACATTCAGCATGATAGAATCTTGTATTTTCCAATTGGCAATCATATACGCATGAGATTTAATTAATATGTTTAATGATGAAAAGTGGTAATAAATCAAATTTTTAATTATTTTAATTGAAACGAGAAATAAAATTGAATCAAAGAGGTATTCAAATTTTATTTAAAAAGTATCGTAAATCGAAATAATTATAAAATCAACATGTGGTTTATTACCAATACATAATACTGGTCCATAATCGGGAATGAATTCCAACCGCTATCATCGTAACCTACTTTTTTTTGACACTTGATTATTTCATAAATATAATATTTTGTATGCTTAAAAATTTCCAGAGTTCTCGAAGTAGATTCCCAAACTTTACTATTGTCAAAGTAGACTATTTACTAGTTGTCATTTCACGAATGATCTAAATCCAAATGTCAAATTCAAAATTCCAAAATAGTACCATGCCGTTCCACAACCATCATTTCCACCTTTATTATAAGTTAAATTAACGATGTTGTTCATCGGTGCGTTAATTATGAATGCATGCACAAAATTTCATCAAAATCATCACACCCTAGTTTGCCACAGCAGATAGTAGAATTATTTATATTTTGTATTTGTGTGACAAATAGATCTTCTTAATATATTCGCGATTACAATATTTTCTTCTAAACTTTAGTTCTCAATTCTATAAACCATATCTTTATTTGTATCTATGTATGACAATCAATCATTACTATGCCATTTCAAGTTGTATCCGAAAACTGGTTTTGAAATAGGCAATGACAACTTTTGTGATTATAAATGTCAATTAAGTCATTTATACTTAACTTGAAACATATATATTCAACATTTGAGTTTACTAATCAGTATAAGACTTTTCTTACAAAAACATTCTACAAATAGTGATACAAAATTTAAACAATCTGTGGTTCATTTGATTCTTCCTATACCGACTTAATGAGATAAACAATATTTCATTACATCTTTTTTACGTTATTAATGAGATAGAGGAAAGATTTTTTTGTTTTACCTACTTATTTTCGTTTTCTTTTCAAGAACTCACATCTGTACGACCACGTGTTTTATTTAAGATGAAAATCGGATAAATTATTTGGACCATATTTTTTATTTTTTTAATAATACACCTTTTTAAGTATTTTAGGCGTTTATTTACATGTATTTAATTTATGATTTCCTCGTATGTAAATAATTTTATTAGTGATATGGTATTATTAAAAAGTTTTTGTATTTATTTTATAGTTAAAGAAAAAAAGAAAAAACTAAAAAAAAAACAAATATTATCCAAAAACAAATGTAAATGTTTTCTATTTATGAAACGATTATATACTCAAATAGAAAGCTTTTTATGGAAATTTTTGATTATTTGTTTAGTAAATGTATGCTATGGTAAAAATATTGAAAAGTTTTATCGGATAAACTTTAATATTTCTATTATTAGATTTTTTTTTTAATGAAATAAACCAAATTAGAAATATAGCGGTTTAATTTTTTGAGGAGTTTATGTTGATATAAGGTTGAGCATATTACTTAATATAAATTACTTAATACATATTACTTAATAACTAATTATGGGGGGAAAAAGGATATCGCTTTCTTCTTGAAGCAAGATATACGGCATACATCAAGTTCAACAGATCATAAGTATATACATAATTTTTTTTCACTTTCATGAAGAAAACATTCCCTCACCAAATTCGTAGCGGGCGTTACTGCAAAAGTATCGATCTTGATAGAGTTGCAGTATGCTTCCTAATTGATATACATATATTTATTTATATTATTAGTATATCAAAGAACAATCCCCCTGACCTATCAAAGTCGATACATTTGCGGCGTTACTTGATACTCTATGAGGGAAGAAATATTTAATAAATCCAGAGTCGATCACTTTTATTGTATGACTTGTGAGATAGGTGTAACATAACCATACATAGATTCCATACCATAAAAGGTAACTTGTTGTCCTAATTTCACTTTTTCCGGATTATTTAATGCACAATAAAAGAAGAACCAATTGATTATTCTTTTTTTTGAATTTTTAATTTTTTTCCCCCCGTCAAGTCGGCCGTTTTTTTTTACTCTCGTAGCTTACAAATGGTAGTGGCTTGTAAGGTATATGTTATTGTAAATTTAAGATAAATTTATTTATATTTTTGTGCAAAGTTATGAATTTTCGATGAATTTTAGTATAAAACTGGTAAAATATTGGGAGCAGGCACTTATACTGTGGTAAAAGGTCAATATTTAATTTCCTTCTTAATGCGTCATTTTTGTCTTTTTCATGTTTCATATTAAATATACCTGTATTTATAAATTTGCATTTTATAGAAGCTCAATATGTATGTATACTTCCAATAATTAAACATATTGAAGAATAATTTGTGTATGTGAATTATTTTATTAGAATATTTATATTTAAATCATCGAAAAAAATTTTTTTTAGATTAAAACAAAACAATATTTTGCAGTCAAAATAATTAACAAAAAGACTATGGAAGGTAGATGGGATATGATCGTGAACGAATTAAATATTTTAAAGAATATTTCACAAGGTCATAGATACATTCTAACATTGGTTGATTACTTTGAGTCTATAAATAATTGTAAGTTGAATAGTTGATATTTAATCGTACCATAACAAGGATTTTACTTAATAATGATTCAAATTATTTTTTTTTTTTAGTTTATATAGTCACAGATAGGGCTCTTGGTGGGGATCTCAATAGTCGTATTTGTCAAAAAGGTAGTTATTTCGAACGTAACGCAATTAATATTGTTAGAAATATAATTGAAGCTGTTAAATACTTACATGATAAAGAAATTGTTCATAGAAGTGAGTGATTTTCATACTTTAATTTACCGATTTTTTTTTATTTCCATTTTTAAATTAGTCAATTTATTTTTTTATTTTAGATCTTAAGGTAACAAAAAATAATAATCAAAAAATCTTTTTTTTTTTTTTTTTTTTTTTTTCTTCTCGTAATTAATTATACACAGTTTCAACGATGATGATTATGATGATGACATAAAACAATTATTTTTATAGCCAGAAAATATTATTTTTAGAACCCAAGATGATGAATCTGATATTCTTATTTGTGGATTTCATTTATCTCGAATTATTGATTCGGATATTCTTAACACAATATGTGGTGCACCTGGTTATATGGTAATAATTAAACGTAATTAACGGTAATATTTTTTTTAAGTTAAAAATTATATTTGTGATTTATATATTAAAATAAAAGATTAATATGGTTTTTTCAGGCGCCCGAAATTTTCGGAAATTCTGGATATAGTAAACCTATAGATTTATGGTCTATTGGTGTAATCACATACTTTATATTATGTGGTTTTGAACCATTTGGTAATGAAGGTACATATGAAGAGATTCATGATGTTCTTCGAGCAAATTATAATTTTAATGAAAAATCTTGGAAGAAAGTTAGTGATACTGGTAAATATAATTAATTCATATATCAAATGAATCTTTTAAATAAAAAATATATATATATATATTTATACATCTTTTTTAATTATATAGCCAAAGATTTTATAAACAAATTATTAGTCATCGATCCTGATAGTCGTCTTAACGCTTATCAAGCTTTAGCTCATCCATGGCTAACTGCTAGTTCAAATTTCAATTCTCGTAAAGGAGCTATTGAAACAGGTTAAGTCGATACTTTAAAAAGTATTATTTATTTAAACATTATTCGAAATTCGAAAATATGAAAAAATTAATAATATAGAATAATTTATTATTGATATTTAACCTTAAACTTTTTTGGTAATATTAATAGTCTTCATGTGGTTCTTTATTATATATAATATATTAGTATCCATGTTGCATAAATTCATTTAAAAATAAAAAAAAAAAGGAAACAATAAAATGATCACCAGGAAAAAAAAATCATTCGTGATCCGGGGTCCATTATAATACGTATTTTTAGTAATTTGTGCACCAAATGTGATATTGTCATTCACGAATCAAAAAATTAATTCAATTCAATTCTCAATTCCTAATAAGAAAATAGATTCTCTTAATGGAAATTTGAAAAGTTTGATTAAAAACGATTGTTTTAACAAATTTCCATAAAATTTTGTCATACGATACAATATTTTACGAACAAAAGTTAATCTATGGAATAGAAAAATTCCGAGTAAATTTTCAACTAGGATGAAAACAAATTTAAAATCTACATAAAAACGAATCCTTTGATTACTATCTTCCTAAACTACGACAAAATATTCTCAAAATTTTGAAGCTTGAACAATATGTATATTTTTTTTCTAGAACAAAAATTTGGGAATGATGATTTGTCATTGTTATTAAATAAATTGTGAAATATTATTATAATTTTAAGATTTAACTTTGTTTCTTTACCTTTATTGCATATCAGCCTATCAGCCTGATATAATTGGTGCAATCCGAATGATGATCTATTTTGCTTTGTTCAAAAAACAAGTTAAAACAAGTTCAGAATCCAGATCATTTTAATTCTCAATCAATTTACATTTGTGAATCAGAAATTTTATCGCTTCTATTACTGAAATTTTTAAAATTTTTAAATTAAATTTCAAAAACTTTTATTTATTTATTTATTTATTTTATTTTTTTTTAAAAAAAAATAAATTTGAACAGACATATATTATTCGCTCTCGGCTTTCTTCGAAAATTTTGAAATTCGTACTGAAAAAGATATTTATTTATATATATATAAAAAATATTGAATTTTAAATAGTGATTTAAATTAAATTTAAATGATCATTATTATCATTGTAATTGAAGCATTTGCAAAATTTTCCGACAATCAACATTCATTCAAATTTTTCCTGAAATGTCTACTATTGAACAATGTCTTCTAAAAATATAAAAAGTAACAAATTATTTTTTTTTCCTTACTTATTCTTTTGTTATTTTCTTCATCATTATCATTTCTTTTTCGGTAGTAATATCAATAAAAACATATACACATACATTTAATCCGAACCCTTTTTTTTTAAAAAAAAAAAAATAATTTTATTTAATTGTTTTATAAAACATAATAATGTTCGTGTTCGAAAGCTTGACTTTCGATATTCCTTCTACCCTCGAAGGCATTTGTTTTAATTTGGCTTTCCTCTTTTCCATTGTTTTTTCTTTCATTTTTCTCCTCTTTTCTTTCTTTTCTTTTATTTCTTCTTTCACTTCTTTCCTCAATTCTTTCATAAATGATCATGTGACCAGTAACTACAGTATCTATGAAAAAAAACATAAGAATTATGATTACATTTTATATGAAAAATGTAAACAAGAAATTAATTATCAGGTTCATTATTATTTAAATTGTTATTATAATAAAATTAAAAGATATCGTATGAAATATCATGGATCATTAAAAGTTAAGATTTTTGAGATATCAGATTATGATTTGAATAAGGATGAACGACAAGAAAAGTATAAAGATTATTATGTATTATTATGTGAAAAATGTAATCAAGAAGTTAATAAACGAGATTATAAATGTAATAATTGCTATAATATGGAAACTGATCCTAATGAATTCGTATTAGACTTGGAAGTTGTAAAGAATGTCATCAAGTAAATAAGTATTCTGTTGGATGTTTATCTTGCATTATTGAGCATTTTAAAAAAGATTTTAATAAATGGACTAGCGGAAATAAAATTATTGACTCTCATTTAATAATTACAATGATTTATTAGAATGGATTCCGTATAATAAATTTGAAAGTATTAAATATATAGCTAAAGGAGGTTTTGCTAAAGTATATTCAGCTGAATGGATAGATGGCCGAATTAAAAGATGGAATCCATTATCTAATAATTGGGAAAGGAATGGACAAACAAAAATTGCTTTAAAAGTATTAAATGATTCGGAAAATATCAGTGAAGATTTTCTAAATGAGGTACGGTATCTAAAAAAATTTTAAATTGATTTTAATTAATTATTATCTAATTTTTTTTTTTTTTTAAGTTAAAAGTCCTCATTGAAGCTCTTAATTAGTATCCAGGAATAGTGGAATGTTTTGGAATTACTCGAGATCCCATATCTCTTAATTATGCATTAGTATTAGAATACGCGAAAAATGATTTGCGTTCATATCTATATCGAACTTATAATTCAATCACATTGGGACAGAAATTGATTATTATAAATCGTATTTGTTATGGACTTCATATTATTATCCATGATATGAGACTAATTCATAAAGATCTTCATTCAGGCAATATTTTAATTGATGGGGTTACACTTATAAGTGATTTTGGTTTTTGCATCCCAACAAATAAAACTTCATCAGATTCAAATGTCTATGGAGTAATGCCATATATGGCACCTGAAATATTACGTGGAGAACAACATACGTTAGCGTCTGATGTATACTCTTTAGGTATCATCATGAATGAAATAGTTACTGTAACCACACCATTTAATAATCAACCACATGATCGTTTTCTTGTACTGGATATTTGTCGGGGTTTACGTCCAAATACCATTAGAACAGAAACAACAGAAACTTCAAATTCTTTAAATTTTTTAAAAGAATTAAATAAATTAATTGAAAGATGTTGGGATGCAAATTCAATAAATCGTCCTACTTCTGGAGAAATTTGTGACATTTCTTTAGATATTTTAAATGATTACACAAATCAAAAGCAAGCTGAAGAACAGAAAAATCCATCATATAATTTTGATGAAACCATCGATAACACTTTAAATTCATCAATTACAATGAAAACGCATTCACAAGCTATCTATAAAAGTAAAATTCTTGATTTACCATCACACTTACCAGAACCATCAAATTGTTCAAATCTTATTATACAAAATGTACAAGCAGGTAAATTTATTTTTATATATTTCTATTTGTTTGTTTAAAATTAATAAGTTAATAAATTTATTATTTTTTATCATTATAGAAAAATTACAATCTGAATGTTTAGAATGTGCAATTCCTGATTAGGCTCGAATTAATGAACGAAAAACGACCTTTTTTTATCACTATGATAAAGTAGTAAATAATTCACTTCTTTATATTACTAGCGTTAAACAATGAAATAGCCAGGCATAATAATCACTGATCAGCCATGGAATTGATACGAAAATTTCTTTATGGATAATTAATTATTTATTATTATTCATTTACTGTTTAATTTTCTTTTTGTATGTATATCGTAATTCTATTATATTAACAATAAAACTTCGCATATTACAGTGCTAAATTCTAATTCTTTTCACATAATTTTGCAGATCTGCAAAATTACATAGCAAATTTATAGTGGACACTATTATTATGGTTAATATATGGTTAATAAACTAGTTCAAACTTCGAAGTGCTTTTATTGTTGTATTTGTCACGTGCCGCAAGGACATCGTATCACGTTGCGTAGACACAAATATGGCTATGCGTATTATTTTGATGTGAGTATAGATTTCTTATGACTTCATACTGACATATTACGATGTTGTGAAAGCAACCTAATTTAATTGCTATACGTAAAAGTTAAAATCGAAATATAGGGCGTAATACGATACGACGAAATAGGAAAAATGGCGAAATGACGAAAAAAAATTCTAATAAAATTTTTTCATACGTGTTAAAACTATTCATGATGATCGACCTATTATTTAATAGATTTAATGATGGTGTAATAGTTACCATTTCAAATTTCGCCTATTATCTTTTCTGGAAAATAAAAAACTGTAAATGAGCAAATTATTTAACCTATGAAAGTCAGTATTGTCATTGTGATCGACGTGATTGTATTTTTGTCAAATTCAATTGTTATACGTTATATATACGTTGTTTTTTCCTCTGCTTTTTCTCTGTTGAATATAACCTTAGTGTAACTCTGCATAAGCCATATTTTGAAACCCAGACCGGTCCAAAACTTAAGGTACAATATTAACGTTTCCTCCCCATCATTATTGCAATTAAAATAATTAAAAAAATCAATATGAATAAAAAATATATACATAAGAATCCAAGTTTCTAAATTAATTTCTTCTAAAGAAGTCTTTAATGGAGACTCTTTAGTAAAAATAAAGAATGTGATGGGATCATGTGATTGTATTTTTGCCAATTTTGATTGGATATTATTCTGGAAAAAACAATTCCGGTAATAAGTGAGCTATATTTTGAAATCTAATAAACCAGACCAGGATTTATAATTAATTCATAAATTATAAAAATACTGCATTTCAATAAAAAAAAAAGAAAAAAATCAATAATAAAAATAAATATTAAATGGTTTCTTTTTACAACTAAATAAAAAAAGCATTAAAAATATTTAATTAATCAATTACGATCAAAAAGATATAAATAAAAATTATAAAAATTCGAGTTTTATGCTCTGAATCTATCATCTCGTTAAAAGACTTTTAACTGAATTTTTTTACAATCTATATTCAGGTTTTATATTTTACCGATTACTTGTAAATTACTAGAGTTTAATTAAAATTATAATTGTTTTATAAATTTTTTTATTAAATTAATTATTCTTACTTTTGTTTACATATTACTTTTATGCCGTAAACTATTATCTTATAAAAAAAGTATTAATAAATGTAATAAAAAAAAAACTTATGAACTAAAAAAAATAAACAAGAAAATAAAAAATTTTTATTAAATTATATTTTAATATTTTGTAGTATCTACCTGCTTTTTTTTTACATAAATACAAAAAAAAAAAATTTGATTAATTATTATTATAATTCACACCAAAAAAGATACATCTTATTTATATCTAATTTGAGTTCAATAAACCATACATTCTAAACATTCAGATCGTAAATTTTCTATAACGGTAAAAATAATATATTTATTAACTTCATAATTTTGAACAAACAAATAGAAATATATAAAAAAAAAATAAATTTACTTGCTAGTAAATCTTGTGAATAAATTCTTGAGGAAATGAATTCTTGTTGATTTGGCCAATTTGTTGGTTCTGGTAAGTTTGGTGGTAAATCAAGAATTCCACTTGTATAATTAGCTTCTGAATGAGTTTCAATTGTAATTGATGGATTTTTTTTTAAAGTGGTATCGATGGTTTCATCAAAATTATATGATGGATTTTTCTGTTCTTCAGCTTGCTTTTGATTTATGTAATCATTTAAAATATCTAAAGAAATGTCACAAACTTCTCCAGAAGTAGGACGATTTATTGAATTTGCATCCCAACATCTTTCAATTAATTTATTTAATTCTTTTAAAAAATTTAAAGAATTTGAAGTTTCTGTTGTTTCTGTTCTAATGGTATTTGGACGTAAACCCCGACAAATATCCAGTACAAGAAAATGATCATGTGGTTGATTATTAAATGGTGGTGTTACAGTAACTATTTCATTCATGATGATACCTAAAGAATATACATCAGACGCTAACGTATGTTGTTCCCCACGTAATATTTCAGGTGCCATATATGGCATTACTCCATAGACATTTGAATCTGATGAAGTTTTATTTGTTGGGATGCAAAACCCAAAATCACTTATAAGTGTAACCCCATCAATTAAAATATTACCTGGATGGAGATCTTTGTGAACTAATTCCATATCATGAATAATATGAAGTCCATAACAAATACGTTTTATAATGTTCAATTTCTTTCCACATGTAATTGAATTATTATTATTTTGATATAGATATGAACGTAGATCATTTTTCACGTATTCTAATACTAATGCATAATTAAGAGATATAGGATCTCGAGTAATTCCGAAACATTTCACTATTCCTGGATAATAACTAGCTTTAATGAGGACTTTTATCTTAAAAAAAAAAAAAATGAGTTAATAATTAATTAAAATCAATTTCAAATTTCTTTTAGATACCGTACCTCGTTTAGAAAATCTTCACTGATATTTTCCGAATCATTTAATACTTTTAAAGCAATTTTTGTTTGCCCATTCCTTTCCCAATTATTAGATAATGGATTCCATCTTTTAATTCGGCCATCTATCCATTCAGCTGAATATACTTTAGCAAACCCTCCTTTAGCTATATATTTAATATTTTCAAATTTATTATACGGAATCCATTCTAATAAATCATTGTAATTATTAAATGAGAGTTGAATATTCTGTATTAATTGATCAATAATTTTATTTCCGCTAGTCCATTTATTAAAATCTTCTCTAAAATGCTTAATAATGCAAGATAGACATCCAACAGAATACTCATTTACTTGATGACATTCTTTACAACTTCCAAGTCTCATACGAAATTTTTCATTAGGATCAGTTTCCTTATTATAGCAATAATTACATTTATAATCTCGTTTGTTAACTTCTTGATTACATTTTTCACATAATAATACATAATAATCTTTATACTTTTCTCGTCGTTCATCCTTATTCAAACCATAATCTGATATCTCAAAAATCTTAACTTTTAATGATCCATGATATTTCATACGATATCTTTTAATTTTATTATAATAACAATTTAAATAATAATGAACCTGATAATTAATTTTTTGTTTACATTTTTCATATAAAATGTAATCATAATTCTTATGTTTTTTTTCATAGATACTGTAGTTACTGGTCACATGATCATTTATGAAAGAATTGAGGAAAGAAGTGAAAGAAGAAATAAAAGAAAAGAAAGAAAAGAGGAGAAAAATGAAAGAAAAAACAATGGAAAAGAGGAAAGCCAAATTAAAACAAATGCCTTCGAGGGTAGAAGGAATATCGAAAGTCAAGCTTTCGAACACGAACATTATTATGTTTTATAAAACAATTAAATAAAATTATTTTTTTTTTTTTAAAAAAAAAGGGTTCGGATTAAATGTATGTGTATATGTTTTTATTGATATTACTACCGAAAAAGAAATGATAATGATGAAGAAAATAACAAAAGAATAAGTAAGGAAAAAAAAATAATTTGTTACTTTTTATATTTTTAGAAGACATTGTTCAATAGTAGACATTTCAGGAAAAATTTGAATGAATGTTGATTGTCGGAAAATTTTGCAAATGCTTCAATTACAATGATAATAATGATCATTTAAATTTAATTTAAATCACTATTTAAAATTCAATATTTTTTATATATATATAAATAAATATCTTTTTCAGTACGAATTTCAAAATTTTCGAAGAAAGCCGAGAGCGAATAATATATGTCTGTTCAAATTTATTTTTTTTTAAAAAAAAATAAAATAAATAAATAAATAAATAAAAGTTTTTGAAATTTAATTTAAAAATTTTAAAAATTTCAGTAATAGAAGCGATAAAATTTCTGATTCACAAATGTAAATTGATTGAGAATTAAAATGATCTGGATTCTGAACTTGTTTTAACTTGTTTTTTGAACAAAGCAAAATAGATCATCATTCGGATTGCACCAATTATATCAGGCTGATAGGCTGATATGCAATAAAGGTAAAGAAACAAAGTTAAATCTTAAAATTATAATAATATTTCACAATTTATTTAATAACAATGACAAATCATCATTCCCAAATTTTTGTTCTAGAAAAAAAATATACATATTGTTCAAGCTTCAAAATTTTGAGAATATTTTGTCGTAGTTTAGGAAGATAGTAATCAAAGGATTCGTTTTTATGTAGATTTTAAATTTGTTTTCATCCTAGTTGAAAATTTACTCGGAATTTTTCTATTCCATAGATTAACTTTTGTTCGTAAAATATTGTATCGTATGACAAAATTTTATGGAAATTTGTTAAAACAATCGTTTTTAATCAAACTTTTCAAATTTCCATTAAGAGAATCTATTTTCTTATTAGGAATTGAGAATTGAATTGAATTAATTTTTTGATTCGTGAATGACAATATCACATTTGGTGCACAAATTACTAAAAATACGTATTATAATGGACCCCGGATCACGAATGATTTTTTTTTCCTGGTGATCATTTTATTGTTTCCTTTTTTTTTTTATTTTTAAATGAATTTATGCAACATGGATACTAATATATTATATATAATAAAGAACCACATGAAGACTATTAATATTACCAAAAAAGTTTAAGGTTAAATATCAATAATAAATTATTCTATATTATTAATTTTTTCATATTTTCGAATTTCGAATAATGTTTAAATAAATAATACTTTTTAAAGTATCGACTTAACCTGTTTCAATAGCTCCTTTACGAGAATTGAAATTTGAACTAGCAGTTAGCCATGGATGAGCTAAAGCTTGATAAGCGTTAAGACGACTATCAGGATCGATGACTAATAATTTGTTTATAAAATCTTTGGCTATATAATTAAAAAAGATGTATAAATATATATATATATATTTTTTATTTAAAAGATTCATTTGATATATGAATTAATTATATTTACCAGTATCACTAACTTTCTTCCAAGATTTTTCATTAAAATTATAATTTGCTCGAAGAACATCATGAATCTCTTCATATGTACCTTCATTACCAAATGGTTCAAAACCACATAATATAAAGTATGTGATTACACCAATAGACCATAAATCTATAGGTTTACTATATCCAGAATTTCCGAAAATTTCGGGCGCCTGAAAAAACCATATTAATCTTTTATTTTAATATATAAATCACAAATATAATTTTTAACTTAAAAAAAATATTACCGTTAATTACGTTTAATTATTACCATATAACCAGGTGCACCACATATTGTGTTAAGAATATCCGAATCAATAATTCGAGATAAATGAAATCCACAAATAAGAATATCAGATTCATCATCTTGGGTTCTAAAAATAATATTTTCTGGCTATAAAAATAATTGTTTTATGTCATCATCATAATCATCATCGTTGAAACTGTGTATAATTAATTACGAGAAGAAAAAAAAAAAAAAAAAAAAAAAAAGATTTTTTGATTATTATTTTTTGTTACCTTAAGATCTAAAATAAAAAAATAAATTGACTAATTTAAAAATGGAAATAAAAAAAAATCGGTAAATTAAAGTATGAAAATCACTCACTTCTATGAACAATTTCTTTATCATGTAAGTATTTAACAGCTTCAATTATATTTCTAACAATATTAATTGCGTTACGTTCGAAATAACTACCTTTTTGACAAATACGACTATTGAGATCCCCACCAAGAGCCCTATCTGTGACTATATAAACTAAAAAAAAAAAATAATTTGAATCATTATTAAGTAAAATCCTTGTTATGGTACGATTAAATATCAACTATTCAACTTACAATTATTTATAGACTCAAAGTAATCAACCAATGTTAGAATGTATCTATGACCTTGTGAAATATTCTTTAAAATATTTAATTCGTTCACGATCATATCCCATCTACCTTCCATAGTCTTTTTGTTAATTATTTTGACTGCAAAATATTGTTTTGTTTTAATCTAAAAAAAATTTTTTTCGATGATTTAAATATAAATATTCTAATAAAATAATTCACATACACAAATTATTCTTCAATATGTTTAATTATTGGAAGTATACATACATATTGAGCTTCTATAAAATGCAAATTTATAAATACAGGTATATTTAATATGAAACATGAAAAAGACAAAAATGACGCATTAAGAAGGAAATTAAATATTGACCTTTTACCACAGTATAAGTGCCTGCTCCCAATATTTTACCAGTTTTATACTAAAATTCATCGAAAATTCATAACTTTGCACAAAAATATAAATAAATTTATCTTAAATTTACAATAACATATACCTTACAAGCCACTACCATTTGTAAGCTACGAGAGTAAAAAAAAACGGCCGACTTGACGGGGGGAAAAAAATTAAAAATTCAAAAAAAAGAATAATCAATTGGTTCTTCTTTTATTGTGCATTAAATAATCCGGAAAAAGTGAAATTAGGACAACAAGTTACCTTTTATGGTATGGAATCTATGTATGGTTATGTTACACCTATCTCACAAGTCATACAATAAAAGTGATCGACTCTGGATTTATTAAATATTTCTTCCCTCATAGAGTATCAAGTAACGCCGCAAATGTATCGACTTTGATAGGTCAGGGGGATTGTTCTTTGATATACTAATAATATAAATAAATATATGTATATCAATTAGGAAGCATACTGCAACTCTATCAAGATCGATACTTTTGCAGTAACGCCCGCTACGAATTTGGTGAGGGAATGTTTTCTTCATGAAAGTGAAAAAAAATTATGTATATACTTATGATCTGTTGAACTTGATGTATGCCGTATATCTTGCTTCAAGAAGAAAGCGATATCCTTTTTCCCCCCATAATTAGTTATTAAGTAATATGTATTAAGTAATTTATATTAAGTAATATGCTCAACCTTATATCAACATAAACTCCTCAAAAAATTAAACCGCTATATTTCTAATTTGGTTTATTTCATTAAAAAAAAAATCTAATAATAGAAATATTAAAGTTTATCCGATAAAACTTTTCAATATTTTTACCATAGCATACATTTACTAAACAAATAATCAAAAATTTCCATAAAAAGCTTTCTATTTGAGTATATAATCGTTTCATAAATAGAAAACATTTACATTTGTTTTTGGATAATATTTGTTTTTTTTTTAGTTTTTTCTTTTTTTCTTTAACTATAAAATAAATACAAAAACTTTTTAATAATACCATATCACTAATAAAATTATTTACATACGAGGAAATCATAAATTAAATACATGTAAATAAACGCCTAAAATACTTAAAAAGGTGTATTATTAAAAAAATAAAAAATATGGTCCAAATAATTTATCCGATTTTCATCTTAAATAAAACACGTGGTCGTACAGATGTGAGTTCTTGAAAAGAAAACGAAAATAAGTAGGTAAAACAAAAAAATCTTTCCTCTATCTCATTAATAACGTAAAAAAGATGTAATGAAATATTGTTTATCTCATTAAGTCGGTATAGGAAGAATCAAATGAACCACAGATTGTTTAAATTTTGTATCACTATTTGTAGAATGTTTTTGTAAGAAAAGTCTTATACTGATTAGTAAACTCAAATGTTGAATATATATGTTTCAAGTTAAGTATAAATGACTTAATTGACATTTATAATCACAAAAGTTGTCATTGCCTATTTCAAAACCAGTTTTCGGATACAACTTGAAATGGCATAGTAATGATTGATTGTCATACATAGATACAAATAAAGATATGGTTTATAGAATTGAGAACTAAAGTTTAGAAGAAAATATTGTAATCGCGAATATATTAAGAAGATCTATTTGTCACACAAATACAAAATATAAATAATTCTACTATCTGCTGTGGCAAACTAGGGTGTGATGATTTTGATGAAATTTTGTGCATGCATTCATAATTAACGCACCGATGAACAACATCGTTAATTTAACTTATAATAAAGGTGGAAATGATGGTTGTGGAACGGCATGGTACTATTTTGGAATTTTGAATTTGACATTTGGATTTAGATCATTCGTGAAATGACAA